AGCAGCATTTTTTTTATATGTGACTGAGAAAGAAACTGTGCAAAATCAGCCTGAATGTAACAACTTATTGAGGTTGTTGGGAACAGTGATGGTTATAGAGTCTTCCAGCTGCTTGGAGGAAGGATCTGTGATAACGCTCCCTGGTGCATTTAGGGTGCAGCAGTCTGTCAATGAAGTGAGCTCTCCAGTCCTGCAAAAGCTTCATGCATGAAGTGGCAGACATTATCCGACAAGAGATTCCACAGGCTCAGTTGCCCTTCGTTTAGCCCTCCTGATAATCTCGTACTTCCCTAGAGACTGCTTTTTTTTTTTTTATCTCTAGGGCCTTCCCAACAGAGGTGTAGATCACTTTCTTTTTGTTAATGATTGATTTAAGCTCTGTTTTCCCATGCTTTAAAAGTACCAACTCACCTGGAAGCACCATCTTAAATTTAGACTACAGTCTTTAAAGCACAGCTTTACAATGTTAAAAGAAAAACCTATTTACAACATTTGAAGTTGCCAACACCAATGTGCTACAGTCAAATCATTTACCATGAACATTATGTTTTCAGAATGTTGGCTAGAAATGTAGTTGAAGGAGGCAGAGGATGTGTATTTCAAAACAACTGTTCACAATTCAGTCTTTCATATTCAGTCATTCATAAACGTAACATTTGGTAGATTTATTCTCCTTTGAATGCATTTACAGGCCTGGAGATTTAATAATGAAGCTTTAGGATACAGCAGAACAGCTTTGCAGATTGAATTGAGAGAAGTCTTTCTGTGATTTGAACAGAGCGCATTAAACTCAGACCCATAGCAGCAACTTCCTCTGTTCAACCGGATTTTGAATCTTAGCTTAAAGCATACTCTAAAGTTTGACAAGATTCTCCATTTCTAAATTTAAAATTAAAACCTGGATTGTGGATAAATAGAAACATTTCACAGTCTTACAATATGAAAGGAGGCACTTTCGGTCATTTCTTGTTCCTGCAACACCAATTGACCTTTTAATAAACCTTTTAAATGCTTCTATTTCTTTCAGCTGGATTTTGAGTCTTCAGATTGTTCAATAAGCCATTATATATGTTTTGGACATTGGGGGACCAAGTCAAGGCTTTGTTTTCTCACATACTCATTAAATTTGATTAGCACAATTTAAAGGGTTAATTTTAAAGCTACAGTGTGTAACTTTTAGCGACATCTAGCGGTCAGACTGCAGACCGCAGCAACATGAACATCTCCCCCCACCTCTTCTCCCCCCCAACAGTACAGCGAGCGTTACAGGACAAAATGTCTTCCACGACGTCCGCATCACCTACCTTCTCAAGTGATGAGGTTTGTTTAGATAATTTTACAGATAGTATTTCATTAGTCTGTGTAGGGTATAGATTTCATGTAGACTTAAGATAATAAACATAGTTATTTTTTCTACATCGATGTGACGTTTTGGCGACCTCGCAATCGCTAGTTTGTTGGCTCTGCGCTGCCGTAGCGCAAAGATGTCTGCCTCCATGGCTGCGAGACCTGCTCCTATGTAATTCTAAATAACGAATTCTAAGGCAACGCAAATATTAAGGTTAAGAGGCTGAGCTCGTAGATGATGATAAATAACATAGTTATGTATAATATATTACATTTCTGACTGTATATCCCTGTAATTATTACACACTGTAGCTTTAAATGATTTCCCTTATGCCTACTACGAGCTCCGTTTTTTAAATTTTTTTTATTTTACTAAGGCAAGCTAAGAGATGCTAGGTGGGCCTTACATTTAACTATTTACTAAATAATCAATGAACCACTCCAGACACTTAGAATAGAGAAAGCTTTTTGGATGTGAAGCGAAACGTCTTCAAACATGGAGAAAAAAGTCCAGTGGTTTTGTTTTTAACTTTTTAACAAACCATATGCCCAGTCCACTACATATAGATATAGGTATTTTATTTGTATAAATGGGGGGAAAAAACGCATTTGAAAGAAATCACAAAAAGTACAAGAAGGCAGTTTTGATTTCAAAAGAATTTCTAACCATCTTTTTTGTCGACCAAATGGTTGGTAACACATATGTAATGTTAAAACTGAAAAAAAAAATAAATTTTAAGTACTAAAGCAGTCAAATGCTTTCTTCTTGAAGAAAACTGGCACTGGTTAACTCGAATGAAAATGAAAGGACACAGTTCTATTTGCATGTAGAGGGGTGGGGCATAAAATACGTTTGAGTATCAAAGACTAAAGGTAAGCAGAAGATAAAGGAGGATCATGGAGGAAGCAGGAAGCAGATACAACAAGGTAGAATGAATACCTTTATATAACTTTATTCCTAATAATGCTTTCTGTATTATTTTGATTTCTTTTTTTCCATTTAGTTTCTCTCCTTTTTGAGATAACCAACTCCAGACAGAAAAATAAGCATACTTTTGAGCTGAAATACTAAACCATGCCTGTCGATGATCAGTCAAGTGTACTTTATCAATCATTTGTCTTTTATAGAAAAAATATACACTCAATTTACGTTATTCTCTTTTGTTAAATTCAAAGGACTGGACCATTTTTTTTTTTTTTTTACCACTAAGTGTAAAATGCTCTGCTTTCTGAGAATGACTAATTACTTAACTTTTTCTGCTTTCTGCATAAGGCCCTGAGTTGATTCAGATTAAGATAGCTGGTTCTAAAACAAAAGCAAAGCTATGTTACAAAGATGATTTTAAGCATAACTGTACACTGTATTAACACATTTAAATAAAGAAACATATTCATTCTTTTTTTTAGTTATTGAAGGAATCTTTCATTGTTATTAGGCATAAGGTCAGAGTATGAGATAGAAATGGAAACTGATTCTTGGATTCCTCTAGTAAATGAAATGTATGAGCATAATATTCCAAGTGGCATGCATTTAGTTTAATATTTAACATGCATTGATGTTTTTATTGCTACCAACAAGTAGGATATAAAGGCAGCCTCAGCCGAAGCAACCGAAATCACACTAAATAAATCTGGATTAACCGGTTTATGGCTTTTATTTTGGTTGGTAACTTGTTTCCTGTTATGTACATATTAACGTAGTGTATATTTTGTGAATGTGTACACTTAAATATTTATTATTACATGTTAAAATGCAATATGATCTGTTAAATACAGAATATTTACAAATACCTTTAAATCCCTTTTACAGAGCTCCTATCTTTGCTAAAATCTCTTGGCAATGTGTTGTAATTTTATTCAGCTCTCTGCAGACAGCTAGTCTTGGTTATAAGGGAGATGTGGTTAAACCACATTGCTAGGGGTGATGCAATCTATAAAAGGGATTTTTTTTTTTTTAATAAAATGTACTCCTTGCCATCAGTGGAAATAAACAAATCCTATACACAATTTAGGCTGGATTAAAACATTTTGAGCATTCTGAACATTCTAACTACGCTTCTGTGCAAAGGGACTCATTTTTAGGCACTGATTATCAGCAGGAATGTTAAAATGTATCATGTGAAAAGTAGCTTTGCGCATGATAAATGTTTACATTTATATATCCCCCATGAATTTTATGGTTTCGTCATTAAAATGTGATCAGCATGTTGATCAAGTCAAACAGGTACCAAATGATTTGCACACACCCTCTGCTGAATGGAAAATGCCAATCCCTTTGCACCTACTTTGAAGATCTGTTCTTCATGCACAGACATGATACAGTTCAATTAAGTCAAAAGTATGACAAAAAAATTTATATCTGAAGAACTATTAGATATATTTAAATTTTAATGAAGTTCATGGGTTTCTTTTAGAAACTCTTGTGAAAACCAATAAATGCAAGTATGGAAGTAAATCTGTGTCGCTTGGATTTGAATTAAAAATGCCACTGAAATTTAAATGAATGGCTGGGTGTTGGACACCACAATCCATTGCTAATGTCTATGACCTGAAGTAACCCTTCCCTTTTTACACTGAATTTAGACACCGAATTTAAGACAGTGAAATAGAGCCAGTTGAATTTAAAGGAGGCTGAAATTATTGAGTTTGAATTTTGAAAGGTTGAATTTTTTTATATGCAAATTTCTTTAACACTGAAAAATCAAACTGAAAAATAAGTATTGAAAATGTAATCACTTTGAAATAGTAATGTGAATTTTAAGCTAGAAGAGAAAATAACATGAAATTTCAACTTTGTAGAAATAATGACAATACATTTTTTTTTAAGTCAAAAATGTGTTCTGAATATATATTAACAGTAAAACAGTAAGTACAAAAAACAACATTAAAATTTCAGTGGCATTTTTAATTCCCAGCGACACAAATTTACTTCCATATGCAAGAAGTTATGGATTTCTGTTTTCTATCAGATATTGATATTTTCAATATTTCCTAAAGGCTCTACCCAGTGTCATGCTCGGCGTAGGGTCTTTGATGCTGTGAACTATTTCATCTTAAAAAAGTTCTTTGCTCTATTTTAAATGCATGTCAAGCTGAACACTATGAAATAAGAAGCCTTAAATGAATACATATGTGGCAGAAAACTGAAATTGAATTAATGATATTCATATAAAAAAACGAACATGTTTTCAGATTTTATCATTGTGGTATTTCATCTCATTACTTTCAAGTTCTCCAATCATAAATGTGTGTTGTTCCTAACCTAACCATTAGATGGCCAATTTCTAACAAGAGAGCATCAATAAGCATCTTGACTTAACCAAAATGTGATTGAGGCAAATTCAGAGCACCTGTGTCTAATGGTTAGTTTGAAATGGACCAGAACATGTATATTTTTTGGCTTGTTGCACACCTGAGGCCTTAATATATCTAATTACTTTGCATTTTTTTGCCTTTCTCTTCAGTGAAAAGCCAGATCGATTCACCAGCGATAATGGGAGGCCGTTATTGCAGAAAGCATTACTGTCTTGCTGTTGTCTTCACCTCCTTGACTTTATGTGTTTTATGTTTCCTGATTTACAATGAGAACATCATGTATGAGAGAAGCAGTAAATTAGTAGAGGTGAGTATTTGACTTTGGCTATATTCACACTGCAAGCCTTAATGCTCGAAATAAAGACTATTCTCTGCATTATCATTCTGCATTGAAAGATGCAGAATAGGGACCTTTGTTTAGTATTAATGACGTTCAGGTCGGATGAATGCGATCTGAACGTGTAAAATGAACATAAATTGCATTTATAAAGATCAGACATGTATCTGATTAAGGACCACATAGCCAGGTGGTCTGGGTCGCATTTGAAAATATTGGATCTGCGTTGTTCATACTGTCATGAAAAGATCACAGACAAGTTGCTTATGGGCAAAAAAAATCGGATTTGGGTCCATTCAAGCTGCAGTGCGAATGTAGCGATATTGTGTAAACCTTGGGGATCCATTGCTGAGAAAAAATGCATTTATGGTGAACAAACAGTTGTTTTATTACAGTTATATTAGGGTAGCTCAAATGTATGATAGGTTAATTGATGGCATCAATGATATTGTCTTTAGGGGTTTCATCTTTCTCTCTTTGAAGGTCTCTGCACTATGATTCCCTATCAGATTCATTTTCTCACTCATTGCTGTCATAAACCTTTTTTCTTATCTTTCTTTTTTTACACATCCAGAATCACTTAGCATCATTAAAATAAACAGTTGATTATTTTTATTAAAAATAAACTTTATTCATGGCATTTTATTTGTTTGCTCTCTAAACTCTTCTCTTGTTAAAGAATAAAATTTTCTTCGCCGTACCCCAAGTGCAATCCCTTGAGCATCCCTTGCCCTCCGACGTCTGCTCCTTTCATTCACTATCACCTGAAGACGCCCTTGAATGGAACCATATGAAAGACTCTGTTGCCTGGCCTGAAACCCCCCCTTTACCAACCAACTTTTCTCTACATGACACTAGTGATCCAGCTCACAGCACTTTCACCATCCTTCCAGGAAACAGAGGGGGGAGTTGGCATGTAGGGGATCAGTTGGAAGTTTTGGTAAAAATCAATGATTTCTACGGTCATCCCAAGAAGTTTGGTGGAGACTTCTTGCTTGCTCGGTTGCACAACCCTACTCTGTTTGCAGGGGTGGCAGGACAAGTGTTGGATCACCAGAATGGTTCCTACACTGCTGTATTCCCTTTACTCTGGGAGGGAAATGCAGAAGTTGAGGTAAGACTAAATCCTACAATGTCATGTGTACCAATATTGGGTCTCAGCTATGACTTTTTTTCTGTTAGCGAAGGTTGCAGTCCTACAAATAATGAAAAAAAAAAAAGCTGGATATATTTAGTAATGAAAACCTACTTATTCCATATATATTCCCATACACCCTAACTCAATCACATGCTGACCTTGATGCTCAAAAATCTGTGAGCCTTTGTATGAATGTTGTGCCATTCATCTTGCCAGAAGATTTCGAATATATTAAATAACTAGAACTGGAAGTTAGTTAATTAATAGGTAATTCAAATCAAGGGTAAAGCTAGTTATTTGTTATCAGTTGAATGATGATAATTTTAATCTGACCAGGGTTTTAGCCTCTTTCCTAAAAGGGTTAGACTCCTGAATCCGGCTGTCAGAAATCCAGTTGTCTTTCACCAATTTATTAATTTCTGCTATGGCTCTTGACTACGGTATTAATCACCAACCAAATAAATGTGTCTCTGTTCATTTGGATGCTACTGAAAGAAGAGTGAATCCAGCCCGAGTGATAAATCAAGCACTGTGTAAAATGGTACCTTTATTAGCTACAATCACACGGTATTACATCTAATAAGCAATATCTAAGCAAAACAATAAACACTACTAAAAATGAGCTACCATATTTTCGCGACTATAAGGCGCATATAAATGTCTGTTTATGTGCGGTGCGCCCTATGAGTGCTGTTACTGCGGACGGTGTTGAAACCACCATGAGAACGTTAAAGGGGGAAGTGTGGGAATGGATTGTGTGTGGGCGACAGAAACTGCCGCCTATGGTGCTTTTTAAGAGAAAGACTTTGCCTAAAGAGACTTTTCCAGCTGGAGTTGTTATTAAGGCAAAAGAAAAGGGCTGGATGGATGAGGAGATGATGAAAGAGTGGCTGAGGGAGGTGTATGTAAGGAGACCAGGTGGTTTTTTCCACGCATCACCATCGCTGTTAATCTGTGACTCCATGCGTGCCCATCTCCCAGCCGATGTGAAAAACAAGGTGAAACAAATGAACGCTGTGTTTGCTGTTATTCTGGGAGGTCTGACAAAGGAACTTCAACCGCTCGACATCGGTGTGAACCGGCCATTCAAAGTAAGGCTGCGAGCGGCGTGGGAGCGTTGGATGAACGACGGAGACCATAGTTTCACAAAAAGTGGAAGGCAGCACCGGGCAAGTTACGCCACAGTTTGCAGATGGATTGTAGATTGCAAAGAAGGGGACATTGGCATGTCTGATTTAGCGCAGTTGTTTAATTCAGAAACAGAGGATGATGACTTCGATGGGTTTAATTAATACTTTGTAATAAATACATGAATAAAGCACAATCATACTCAGTTTTGCTCCCGCTCTATTTTTAAATACGCAGTAGA